CTAGGAACAGGCTCCTCCTCTTCCTCTGCCTCTCTACTGTCAGCCTCTGGAGGCTCCAAAGTCCGCACATCACTCTCTGATGGGCCTGGCCCCATCTCTGCCTCTGATGCAGAGCCCTCATCCAGGCCTTCCCAGCCTCCAGGACTGGCCCATATTCTTCCTTAGCCTCATAGCTGTCTGACTCCGCTTCCAGCTCCGCAGGCTGCTGGCGGACCACAACACTATCCCTCACCGCAGTGCCATTGCCCCAGGTCTGACGATCCGGATGCGGCCGTGACGGGAATTGGTCTTGGAAGGCTTTCATCAAGATAGGTGCATGTGCGGAGGTCACATCCTCCCAGGTGAAGTCCTCTAGCCCATATCCCTTCCACTCAATGACATACTGGAACCGTCCTTTTAGCTACCGGGAATCCCGAATGCTGGCAACCTCATACTCAGGTGGTTCATCTCCATCTCGTGGCGCTGGTTGGAGATGGTCAGGTTGGCGGAGTGGACAGACTAGTCATTCTGGGACAAGGAGGGATCTATGAAAGACTGGGTGGACACGCATCGAACATGGCAAGGTCAGGCGGTAGGCGACCGGGTTAATAACTGCCTCCACAGGGAACGGACCAAGATACCGGTGGTCTAGCTTCTTGACCAGCAGGTCTGACAAAAGGTGCCTAGTGGACAACCAAACCCGATCCCCCACAGCCAATGATAGTGTCGCCCAAGATCGGTCCGCGACTCTCTTATAGTCCTCTTTGGCTTTCTCAAGATATCATTGCACTAACTGATGGACAGCCTGCAACTCAGACAGATAGTCATTAGCCGCCGGTACCGGGGAGTCGAGTCGTGTGAGGGGAAAAAACCGAGGATGGTATCCCATATTAGCCAGGAAAGGGGTCGTTTGCATGGCCCATGTTCTTCGTCAGCCTCATCGCTGTCTGACTCCACTGCCAGCTCCGCAGGCCACAATACCTTCTGCTTACGTGTGAAAAAAGTTAACAGACACTGAACCCAGATGGGTGGTATGGGAGAAAGAGGCTTTTGCGTTGCGATGAGCTCTCTTATTGTTGTGGCTCCGTTGCCTGAGCCTGGGCTATTGACAGATACAGACTCTGAGAGTGAGGGAGACGAGTTGGCAAGGCTCCCTCTCCAGGACCCTCCTCTCTGGCAATGCCTCCGGAAGACACCGAAGGCCAAGAGATAGGCCCAGAGCCAAGCACGTCCCCGCAGCCACATGTGGACAGCGACGAAGGAGATAAGTGCTGGCTGGATCCTCGACAGCGGCACAGGGAGAAGCATGCACAGCAGATGGGAAGGCGTGCCAGAGATTAGCTGAGTCACTGGACCACACCCCACAGGGTATAAATGTGGGTGTGGTGGCCGGTTCAGTTTGTGACGAGCAAAAACTAGAAATAATCCAAGATCTCTGTGTTACTGGACTTCTGCCTGCCTTGTCGGACTGCATTTGGACTAATCCTTGTATTGTTGAAACTTTGCCTGCTTTATCGGAATGCTTGCAGTCTAATCTTTGTTTTGTGTGAGTAAAGTCTGAATTGGCAGCTAGCCACTGGGTTGCTGCCAGCTTTATCTTCAAAGACTTTGTCATGTGGCTTATTAACTCCGGGCTGTTTGTGGGGCTGCGTGTGTGGGACGGGGACAGAACACTTATCCTGGAGACACTTCCTAGAGGGGGTAAAGGCACTGAAGCTTTCCCCCAAACAAGTTTGCTGGGCTCAGTATTTTAAACACTTCAATTTCAACCTAAAATACATTCGGGGTGGGGGGACCTATTGGCTGATGCTTTGTCCAGAAAGCCCCAGTTTGATAGCTGGCAAGAAGAGGTAGTACATGCCATGATTTCTGAAACCCAACCAGCAGCCCAAGCATGCCCTAGAGCACAAATGTGGCGCGGTTCCAACCTCCCCCAAGACAAGCTGACAGCAGAGCTAAAAGCGGTGCTCTCAAACGATACATGGTTTAAAGAAAACCAGATGGCCTTAACTCTGAGGGAGGGATTGGCTTGGAAATGGAGTAAGGTTTATGTGCCCAGCTGCATGAGACTACTGGTGCTAAAGCGTAGTCATGATTCTCGACTAGGGGGCCACTTTGGATTTTTAAAAACCCTCCATTTGGCTAGAAGACAATTCTGGTGGCCAAGGATGAAAACTGATGTAGAGGACTACGTAAAAAGCTGCACAATCTGTGCCACCATGAAATCCAGACCAGGGAAACCCCCTGGGTTTCTTCAGCCCATGGCTGAAACCATAAAACCGTGGGAAGAGATTGCAATGGACTTTATTGTCGAACTCCCGAACAGTGGGGGGGGGGGGGAAACAATGATTTGGACTGTCGTGGATTTATTCTCCAAGCAGGCACACTTTCCTGCCTGCAACGGATTACCTTCGGTGAAAAAGCTGGCAAAACCTTTCGTGAAGCACATCTACAGGCTTCATGGCGTCCCATGGTGAATAATATCAGATCGTGGGGTCCAATTTACTGCTAAGTTCTGGAAAGAGTTCCTGAGGTCCATTGGGTTGTCCCAGGGACTTAGCTCAGCTTTCCATCCAGCTACCAACGGATCTGCAGAACGATCCAATGCCATGGTGGAACAATACATCCGATGTTATATAAACTATCAACAAGAGAATTGAGTGGATTTTTACTGTTCGCTGAGGTGGCTTATAATAATTCAGTACCTAGTAGTACAGGGTTGACCCCTTTTCAAATAACTACTGGCATGGATTTTGTGACGATGCCTGAGTTGCCTAGAAAGTCACCAACTTCCATGTCCCTAACAAAATGGATAGGCTCATTAAAAAAGGGGTGGGAGAATACTAAGAAAGCTTTAGCGGACAAGCACAGGTCTCTCCAACCACCTTTCCGAATAGGAGATATTTATATTTGTCAACCAAATACCTAAGAATGAGGCTACCTAGCAAGAAATTTGAACCCAAATTCTTAGGTTCCTTCCTTATAGTGAAAGTGATTAACCCTATAGTTAATCCAATTAAGTCCAATTTAACCTCCCTCGCATATTAGTGCATCCAGTGTTTCACAGTAGCTTACTGAAACCACCAATAGGATCTAATTTAAGACCCTTACCAACTGCTTCCCCCCCCTGCCTTTGATAGTATAAGGGGAGACTCATTATGAAGTTAAGAAGATCCTTGACTTCTGTGTAATCTATTACACAGGGGTCGGTTACAGTATTTGGTACACTGAAAAGGGTACCCTTTGTCTGAAGCTACTTGGGTGAAACGTTGGGATGTGAAAGCTGATAGTTTATTTATTTATTTATTTTATTTATTTATTAAATTTTTATACCGCCCTTCTCCCAAAGGACTCAGGGCGGTGCACAGCCAAAAAATAAAACCAACAAATATATAAAAGTTAAAAAACAGTTTAAAAATATATTAAATAATCTGGCCACCACATGTTAAAAACAGAAACAACCTGTTAAAATTTAGTATTTAGGCCAGCCCAGCTTGATGAAATAATAGCGTCTTGAGGGCAGGTGCCTCCACAGAGAAGGCTCACCCCCTGGGGGTCGCCAGTCGGCATTGTTTGACCAACGGCACCCTGAGGAGCGCTTTAAAGATGGTAACCAGCACTTTGAAGCGCACCCGGAAGACCACCGGGAGCCAGTGCAGCTCGCGCAGGAGAGGTGTTACATGGGTGCACTGTGTCGCTCCCATAATCACCTGCGCGGCCGCATTCTGGACCAGCTGGAACCTCCAAGGGGACCCCCATGTAGAGAGCATTACAGTAGTCCAGACAGGAAGTGACGAGGGCATGAGTGACCGTGCACAAGGCGTCCCGGTCCAGAAAAGGACGCAACTGGTAAATCAGGCGAACCTGATAAAAAGCCCCCCTGGCCATAGCCGTCACATGATCTTCTAAGGACAGCCACGCATGCAGGAGGACACCCAAGTTGCGAGCCCTCTCTGAGGGGGCCAAGATCTCACCCCTGATAGTCAGCAATGAAACCAGCTGGTTATAACAGGACGCCGGAAACCACAGCCACTCAGTCTTGGAGGGGTTGAGTCCGAGCCTGTTTCTCCCCATCCAGATATGCATGGCTTCCAGGCACCGGGACATCATGTCAAGAGCATCATTGGGGTTTAGAAACAATTTCATGGTAAATTTCCTGAGAAGCCAAAGAGTCCTTCTGGGGGGGGGGGGTGTTAAGCGGTTTAATATACAATGCGTTAACCCTTTCTTTTGTTTTTTGTCCAGGGTGCGTTTTTTCTTCGGGGGGGGGGATGCCTGTCAGATTTGGAAGCCATATTAGACCAGAAGCTTCCACGCTGCCACCTTCTCGTGTGTGGGAAAGTAGGAGGGGCGATTTAGTAGAGGGAATGTAGTTAGACAAAATAGCATTCCTCCTTTTGGTCAAGGTCAGGACAATCCTGCATCTGGAGAAGGAGTGGTTGGAGTGATGTCTCGAGATGGGACAGACGGTGATTGGATCATGTGATGGACTGATGAGTGAGGGTTTGGTTTGGGGATTTTGATTTACTGTGGGAAAACCTGGAACTCTCAGATTCGGGTTTTCCCAGATGTGCCAGTATAATAAATGGAACTTTGAGAAAATGCTTGCCTCTTTTAATTGGAGTTGGGTTTTTCTGGAACGCTGACAGCAGAATCAATAGCATTTTAGTCACATGTTCAGGAAATGTGTGCTCTTTCATTCTAGGACTGTCATTCTAGGACTGTGCTGTGTTGCAAGGCCATGGTGTGTGTGTGCATGCATGTGTGTTAGAGATGGCATGATAATTTTACCCGGATGGTGATAAAATGATTAGCCTAAATTTTAGGAAAAGGACAGAATTTGCACTTAGCAGACTAATTGTAGGCCTTAGTGTGAGGTATTCTGCTGTTGAAAATTATTATTTTGGTAGCATAGTGCAAGACTTTTGTGAGATGAGGCATAGCTTGTCTTTACTATATTTAGTCGTTATGTGCGACACAGAATAGCGTAACCTCTGCTGGCTATAATGAACAAAACTTACCAACAGACAATCTTGAAGGACTTGCTTCTCTGCTGCATCCTTGGCTTCGAGGAATCTTGCTCCGTTTTTGTGCTGTTGCAGGGCTGACTAATACTCTATTCATAGTTGAAAGTGTAGTTGTAGTCAAAACTCTTCCAGGAGAACCAGAACGGCTTCCAGCTGAAGGCAAAGAAAACATGTTACAATTCTATTATGTAGAACAAGTTTGAATTGCCTGGAAGAATTTGAAGAAACTGTTTATAACCTAGAAAAGTATATTATCTGACATCTAGTCAGTAGGTATTATCAATTCATGTCCAAAAATGCATTTAATTGTTTTGCTTTTTAACATGAAATTAAATGAGTTGATTCTCTTTTTTTTTTTATCCCCAAACATATTAGGAAAATCTTACCAGTATAAATATCATTACCAGCTACTATTTTCACGACTCTGATACATTTGAAACAAAATAGATCTAACATAATTTACATGATTTGTTGGGTGCCATTATTTTCCTCATATTCCACTTTTGAATATAATTTTACCACTATTCAATCAGTTCTGAGACTGGTGAAATTAGTAAACATGTTCCGAATTCCTATGAGGTGAAGTAGATTAGCAAGAAAACATGGGTTTAGCAATATTAATGCTTTGAGTTATATACAAATATTCATGTATTTATGAATTTACTTTTACCATAGCTGTTGGTTAAAACTCTGCAATAATCAATAATTTCACAAAATCTACTATAATATAAGCCAATGTATTTTTATTTTTGGATCCTTAAGCCTCTATAAAAATAGGAGGAAACTTGTAGGTTTCCAGTGCTGTAAAATAAAATCTTCTAGGTAAATTAGCCTTGTCTTTTCAGCATAATTGTAAAATTAAATAAAAGCAACTTCATGAACGTAATTTATAAGCAACTTGATAAAAAAATTAAAAAGAAGTCTAAGAACAAGCTTGAGATGGAATGTGTTTCTAGCTAGGGATTTATGAGCAATTTGAACTATTGTTTAACTATTGTAATTTGGAAATGAAGCATACATATCTTCCTAAAGATTCACCATGACTTGAGCAGGCATTGTAGCAGAACATTGACTGTGAATGTAAATGCAGATCTAGCAGCAAGCAAACCCTCTGATTAAAAAAACCAGCAAATACGTATTTTTATCAGCCTAGTTACAAGTTCCTGTGAAAAGCTTTTAAAATACCATCTTGAGGAATATATGCAGAATATGATCAAGACTTCACCAATTTAAAGACGGTCCATATATAAACTTCACCAATCTCTCTCTCTCCCCCTCTCTGCATGTGTGTGTATGTGGAGAGAAAGAGAGAGAGAGAGCGGGAGGGAGAGAGAATAAACCCCATAAAAGATGATGAGGCAAGGCAGTGCTCCAGGCAAATGTTATGTGATCATTATTTATGCAGTGGTAATACAACAGCAATTCCCAAACTGTACACATTTTCATGCTTATATGTGATTTATGAAATTCAACATAGTTCTAATGTTGCTACAAAAACTAGTTTACTAGTAAACATTTGGGATTTTGTAGTAGATCAACAAAAATGGTAAAGTATCAACATAATTGTTGATACTTCTTTGTAAATTTCTTTGTAAAAATTAGTCTGCTACATTTAAAATATTTCTGAATAAATGAGAAATGTTTTTTTTGCACCAGGGTTCATTTGGTAGTTCTGAAGGTTTTAGTATAAAACAAAGCATATCCAACAAGACAGATAAATCTTAACTGAACTGAACTAAGACAGAAGTATTTCTTTATCTCTGACAGGAGACAAAATAAATACATTTAATCAGCCCTACTGCCTCACTAAATGAGTATAACATTTGCTGTCTAAAAAACCATTGGGATTTTGCTAATTTTTGTTTCAGAAACAGGAATGTAGCTCAGTTTTCAGAAGTTTGGGAAATACTGAATATGTGCTCTTTTTATATAGGAATCTATGCAGCAGAAAAATGATATATATCAAACCAGATATAAGAATATGTGCTTTGAAGACCTTTTAAAAATGTATTAAAACTGATCAGGGAATTAGGACAACATTCAGATAATTTGGAGAATGCAAACCTATTCCTATTTCCCTAGATTACCATTCATCAAATCATGGTATGATTTCTAAACACCCAGGGTAATGTGTAATGAGGGTTGTAAAAAGCAACCGAAAATGGATCAAATCTGATTTTTTTTTCTTTTCAAATGCATATGTAACATCTTTAACAAGGCTGCAATTGTGCACTAACTCTATACTTTTAAAAATACTACTTATTTCAAATTAATTACTTGAAGATTTGTGAGAACACCATGCAGACCATAAACTGAATCTTCACACATAAAGCATGTTTGATTGAAATATGTGACAATATTTTTCCCTTGATTAAAATAATTGAAAAAAACGTATAGCATCACAAATGTGTCCTTAATCCCTCCTGTTGAGCTATTCTCTGTGTGGTTTTGATTATTCATGTATGATTACTATTTTTGGGCCTGAAACATAGTTCTTGTATACCCAAATACATAGTGTTTCTGCTGAATAGGATCCTGGAATAGATGGTCAAGCAAGAATGCACACACAAAATCTAAAAAACCTTACCACCAGACTCTGGATTAGCAGACTGTGATCCTGAACAAGTGTAAAGGCAGGAATAGGGCAAGGTTTTAAAATCCATGAAGAGGAAGGGAGCAGAGCAGGTTAATAATGAATGGTGAATGGAAATAAAAAAGCTTTAGTCAGTTCATATAAAAAGCTAGATATGCCACAAGGTTAGGGCTAAGAGCAGTGCATTTAAGTAGCTTCTGCCAAACTCAGATGCTGGGTAATTACAATTTTTCAGCTCTTGAACAAAGAACTGTAAAGCAATGAATTTAACTGAAATGTCACATCAAACTGTTGAAAGCTCTAACGAAAGCGTCTAATAGGTACAGAAAAATAGAAAGCGTTATTAGTAAACGTCTAATAGGCACAGAAAAATAGTATTATATTTTTTGTTCTATAGAATCCAAAGAAAGAAAATGAAAGCGACGGAGGGATAATGTACAAGAATTCCATATCTGACATTCATGCAAAAGTGAAGTAGTAACTAAATATGGCTGTCCAATTTTTTAAATATCTACCTGCACTTGTTGAATCATTATCTAAATAATTATGCATTTGTAAATATAATGACAGAAAAAATAATTATGCTTCCATATTGTTAGTTTTCTTATACTCTTAATGAAAACTGCTGTACAAAACTATGCATATGCAGGATAATTCTATCATTACTGGTATATACCCACAAGACTCCAACCACTGACTGAAGTAAATATTCTGGCATTAATAAATGATACATGAGTTGTGCCAGAGTTAATGCAAACATGCAGAGGGTATGATGGCATGGGTAAAGTTTTGCTAGTCTCAAGGATATTTAGTTGATTATCTTGACTAAATAATCTCTATATTGAGTAATGAATATGTTTGATTTCATTGGTAAGTGGAGTTGTGCTAGATATATTTATAGAAGAGAGACAACTTAAGAAAAATCCACCCACCTGGGCAGAATAATCAATTACCCAAAGTGGTGATCATATGTGGAATTGCTTTAATTTAGATTTCTGCATCAAACAAGGAGTAAAAAGCTTCTTTAAATGAATGTTGAAAATATCCACCCAATCCTACTCCTTCTCTGATAAAAACAGATGAGTCTTTGAATCTGCTGTTCCACATAAACTCAACGTAAGCTTCATTTTTTCAAATTTCGATACAAGCTTAAAAGTTTGGAATGCTTCCAATCAGGAAAATTTCAGGGTAATTTTGAGAAAAATAGCTGCTGATCGGTCTCATTCGAGACAATGATGAATCTGCATACAGATGGGAGGTTGAACAACTAGCCTTGTGGTGTGACTGGAACAATCTGGAACTGAACACACTAAAAACTGTAGAAATAGTGGTAGACTTTAGGAAAAACCCTCCCATACTTCCACCTCTCACAATACTAGACAACACAGTATCAACAGTAGAGGCCTTCAAATGTCTAGGTTCTACCATATCCCAAGACCTAAAATGGACACCCAACATCAAAAACTTCATCTAAAAAGCACAACAAAGAATGTTCTTTCTGCACCAACTCAGAAAGCTCAAACTGCCCAAAGAGCCGCTGATACAGTTCTACAGAGGAATTATTGAGTCTGTCATCTATAGCGCTTCTATAACTGTCTGGTTTGGTTCTGCAACCCAACAAGACAGACACAGACTTCAGAGGATAATTAGAACTGCAGAAAAAACAATTGCTACCAACCTGCCTTCCATTGAGGATCTGTATACTGCACGAGTCAAAAGAGGGCTGTGAAAATATTTACAGATCGCTCGCTGTTTCAACTCCTACCCTCAAAACAATGCTATAGAGCACTGCACACCAGAACAACTAGAACAATGCAAGAACAGTTTTTTCCCAAACGCCATCACTCTGCTAAACAAATAATTCCCTCAACACTGTTGAACTATTTACTAAATTTGCACTACTATTAATCTTCTCATCGTTCCCACCACCCATCTCCTTCCATTTATGACTGTATGACTGTAACTTTGTTGCTTGTATCCTTACGGTTTATATTGATATTGTTTCCTGATTCCTTATTTGTACCCTATGACTATCATTAAGTGTTGTACCTTATGATTTTTATTTATTTATTTTATTTTATTTTATTTCTATACTGCCCTTCTCCTGCGGGACTCAGGGCAGTGTACAACCGGGATAAAACATAGCATATAAAATTTAAAAGCATTTTAAAAAACAATTAAATAATTTTGGCCCAAGTTTAAAACAACCCAATTAAAACCGAAATCAATTAAAAAACTGGGAGGATGGGATCAAGCCAGCCCGGCTAGATGGAATAAGTGTCTTTTCAGGGCCCGACGAAAAGTCCGGAGGTCTGATATCGTGCGTATCTCAGGGGGCAGGTCATTCCAGAGGGCAGGTGCTGCTACAGACAAGGGTCTCCCCCTGGGGGTCACCAGCCAACACTGTCTGGCCGACGGCACCCTGAGGAGGCCCTCTCTGTGCGAGCGAACCGGTCGGTGGGAGGCTATTGGCGGCAGAAGGCGGTCTCGCAAATACCCCGGCCCTAAGCCATGGAGCGCTTTAAAGGTGATCACCAACACCTTGAAGCGCACCCGGAAGACCACAGGAAGCCAGTGCAGCTCGCGCAGGAGAGTGTTATATGTGAGCGCCCCGTCGCTCCCATAATCCCCCGTGCAGCCACATTCTGGACCAACTGCAGCCTCCGGGTGCACCCCAAGGGGAGCCCCATGTAGAGAGCATTGCAGTAGTCCAGGCGGGAAGTGACGAGTGCTTGAGTGACCGTGCGTAGGGAGTCCTGCCCTTCTAGCAATAACTATAAATCTAGGATTGCTAGCCATGAATCTGCTCCTTTAGGGATAGTGTTCGTTCATCAACAGACAATATAAGAGACATTAGATATCCATGTTGAATAAACAATAACTTATCTCTTATGGATTCAACTTCAGCCTGTTTTATCTGACTCTCTCAGAGCCTCTAGACTCTGTGTGAAAATCTGGACACGGATTCTGGGTCTCAAACTGATGGATGATCACCTCTGGGAGTTTCATGTAGATATTAAAAATAGGGAAAGAAGATCGAGCACTTTGACACTTCACCAAGGTTCATTGCTCTTATAGCCAGAGTCTGGAATTGCCCATTGAATAAGAAGCAGAATTTCTATAAAATTGTGCCTACAGCCTTCAATCCCTGCAGGCTACTCAGAAAAATACCATGATTGATGGTATTGAAGAGTTCTGAAAAATATAAAAGAACCAGAAGAAATATACTTCTCCATCCAGTTCATAATGAAGGCTACCTGTAAAAGTAAACCAAGCTTCAGTCTCAGACCCAAGCCTGAAACTTGATTGAACAAAACTGAATCTGCTCTATAGCAGATTATGGAGATCCAATGGGATCTGCATAATCTTCCCCCAAAAGGGAAGGTTGGAGATTTGGCAATTGTTATCTAATACAAATGGTTCCAAGAAAAACTTATTATGGAAAAAGTGTACTATAGCTTCTTACAAAAGTGCTTTCATTGCGTTTCCCACATTACCTCTTGCATCCAGTATGATACATTAAATTCAGACCCCCTAAGGAGTCACGGTGGGGCAAAAATCAAATCCATAAATAGCTAGAGACAACAAACAGCACTATATCCATTTTACAGGTGAGAAACAGACCCATATAATATAGCCAGATATTGTCCAGGCCACCACCTATTCAGAATCAAGATTCTGATGAATATCACTGACTTTACTGGCAATGTTTAATATTAATTGGCAGTGCTAATTGGTCCTAGTTGCCAGATTTCCTTGTTGCCCTTTCCTAGCAGAAGCTAGGTCCTCTAAACAAATCTTATCAATAGCCTAATGATGCAATATTGGAGAACGATGTTTCACTTCCCTTACTCATGAAATGGTGTAAGCTTGAAATTGAGCTCATACCCACATTCAATCAGATTTGTTTTGCTGTCCCATCTCTGGAAGGGAAAAATCTGCAATTAACCAACAGACAGGCTGCTGGGGACAATCATATCAAGTGCTTGGAGTCTTTGGAAAAACGCCCAGCACTTGCAGGAAACCAGCTGAATATAGCTATGAGATCTGGGATGACCATCTGAAAACAGTCTGTTTGCTCTATAGAGGTCCAGTCTCAAAGGTCCCAGGAACTGTTTGATGATGGTGGGAACACTCTATATTCTGATCACAAATATCTGTTTTAGGACAAGCATGGGCCCACTTACAAATATTGAACCACAATATGCATTAATTCTTGAGCTTTACTAGATATGATCCTTACAGAATGAAAATTAAAATTGCCCAACAACAGAGGACAAGGGAATTTCAAGCTCATCCTCAAGGAAAGAATCCTATCAGGTAGTAATGTGGTCGGTATACCAGAAATCTACCCAGCTTAACTTTGCAGCCTAACATCTAAGCCTGGAATAGAGTACTTGGCCACAAGTATTAATAACTAAATAGTACAACATAACTATTATATTATGCTAGACTTTCACCTTGTCTCTTCATTAGAATAAGTATTAGGTCATCTGAATACACATATCCACACCACCACCACCACCACCCCTCTCTGGAATTGCTATTTTACATTTAAGGAACAAGGAGCAATAATCAGTTATAGCTACTTGACAAAGATATATGTACTTGACAAATATACCTGTATGTACATTTGAAATGTAAATTTAGAACCCCTAAAAATGATGTAAGCCAGGGTTGTCAAACTCGCAGCCCATGTGTCATGTGCTGGCCACCCCCACCCCCAGTTTAGCGAAGGGGCGGGGAAAGTCACGGTATGTCAAGTCACACCGCGAGTTTGACATCTCTAATATAAGCCAAAAAGTCATGAACCCATAGGCATGAAAATAAGTACAGTGAATTTTAGATTAGATGCAGTATTTAAAATCCACTGCCACTGAAGTGATTTAATTTGTCAAGACATTCAATTTCAGAATCAAAATATGGAACTCTGCAGGAAAAAAAAACCCAGAATGTTTATCCCCACTACAATTATTTACTAATATGTATAGGACAGACTTTTGCAATCATTATTTCTATACTATTATTGCAAACAGAAAATAATTACATCCATTGCACATCTTTTAGAATACTCAATATTGTTTATGATACAAGGAAGAAGTTGTAAGTTAAACATTAAATATAGAGACCGTTCCAATAAGTCTCTTAAGGGATATTTGCCTGTGCTTGTAAATGTATTTGCCATTCATGTGCAATAGTTTACAAAAGAGGTTGAAAGTATACATTCTGTATTTTAGAAAATAACATTATTTTCAGCAATGCTTCTATTTTCCTCAAATGTATATCAATTAGAAATATATACTTGTTTGAATAATACATTCCAATGCTTCATTAATTTTGAAATAATGCATTCAATTCCACATAATGTAGCAACAATATACTTGGATGGAATTTAAATGATTGAATTTTAATGTTTAAATTGCAGTTAATTAAAATGTTTTCAGATATTGAAATGATATCCACTAACTTTTTGCTCTCTTACTTTCTGTTTAAACCTCAAATAACTATAGATTTCCCAGTGAAGAGAGATCAAGTTTAAAAAATTCTACACTGAAAGGGTTAATTTTCTTTTTCTGAATATCTTATTCAAAATAACACAACACAAAGTATAGAAGACTCCAAAAGCATGCAGACTACTGACCCGAAACATTGAAACACTGAAAAAAAAAATACCTTCATTTTTGTCTGGCGATGATGAACCTATGGCACAGAACAACAACTCAGTATGTAGTGTTTCTGAAGAAATATTTTGACCATATCCTTTGGCCAATGAATGTACAATAGATTTATGGGTTTAAAATATTGTTGAGAGAGACAAGCAATACATACGTTGAGATTGAGACACAACTTTTGTTCGACTCCGGCCCCTGGAATCTGCCTTTGAATTTCCCACTCCAATAGAGGGTGTTGAAAGCTTGGTTCGCACACGTCCTATAAAAGAAAGAAAAAAAGAAAAAAGTGGAATTCATATATACAGAAGTAATTGAGTTAATTGGGAGAGAAACAGTGCTACAGTGTAGTTGAAATAATGAATCAGCTCCATTACTTCTCAACTCTTAGCAAATCTTACTTGCGATAATTTAATAGGTAACAGATAGAGCAATTTTCTTTTTTCCTGCTTTAATATTATCCTGCATTTACCACTGAAAGAATACAACTAGTATCTCTTAAATATATAAACATAGAATAAAATAATCTATTATAATTTCTATTTTAAAGTAAAATAGAAATTATTTTAAACACTTTATTTTAAACAGTGTAAGATACTGTTACACATGTCAAAACTGATGTATACTGTCTCTCATATTGAAGTTGGATAGCAATATCTATATCTATCTATATCAGGGGTGTCAAACTCAAGGCCTGCAGGCCGGATCCTAAGCACCACAGGGCGCTTAGATCTGGCCCATGGGGCTGCTCTGGAAACGGTGAAGGACTGGCCCACGGTGCCTCTGCCAGAGAAACAGAGCTCCCTGGGCTCCGTTTTTGTTGGCAGAAAGCTGCAGGAGGCCGTCACGCCTGAAAACGGAGCCTTGACAAGTGACATCAAGCTGGCCATGCCCACCCCAGCCATGCCCCCCCCCAGCCCCCCAGGTCAAACACAATCCTGATGCAGCCCTCAATGAAATTGAGTTTGACACCCCTGATCTATATGAACATGTGTGTATGTGGTTATACAAACACACACAAACATATATATTCTATTTTTTAAAAAAATCCAAAACATTCTGAAACTATTCACAAAATTCCATTTTATTGAATAATAGCAGGATAGATTAAAAATAACTTGAAGAGTCAACATTTTCTTTTTCAATTCTCAAAACTGAATTGCTCAAGTGTTTGAAACTTCCTAGTGTCATCTTTGGTTAGTATCAAAATTATAAAAAAAAAAAAAAAACCAAGTAAAGCAAATACACCAAAAATTTTCCACACATAATTTAGTTAAATAGATACCAAATCATTCAGGTCTCCTACAAAAATATATTGTTTACTCAGGCACAGAAGAAAATCTACTGTCTGAGATGAGAGCCTGTATTCATTCAATTCTTGATGACGTCATCAAATTAAGTTTCTTATACCCAATATACTTGGTCTATAACTAAAACACTCAAATCCATGCAATGACAGAAATTCTGCCCTTCACTGTAATGTGTGTAAATGCAGATAGTTTGACCTGTAAACAGAGGGAATACAATGTGCCACTATTTTGTTAAAATGTTAAATAACCAAACAATCATTATTTTTATTTCAATAAAAATAAATCCATTCTGTAAGTCTTATTGCTTAGAATGAAGTAAATAAAAAGTCTATTGAATGATTCAATATTGTCAGATGACCATATATTAGATAAATAATCAATTGCTGTCAAAATTTCAAAAATTATGAAATATATATGAAAGCAACTTGTCCTGTGAAGAGGTTGGAGCCAAACTTAGAAAAAGACCACTTTTCTATTGATAATCCACCATATCTATCTATCTATCTATCTATCTATCTATTTATCTATCTATCTATCTATCTATCTATCATCTATCCATCCATCCATCCATCCATCCATCCATCTTTGACAGTGATCATGGATTTGAGTTCAAATCATAAAGTTCATTAGGTGACAGAGTCAATCAGAAAAAAATTGGGCTAAATGCACAAAAGACTTATGAAATTAACATGTGAAAGAATCATGTAAACTGCTTTAAGTAAATGAGGATAAAATATAATTTAAATAATATTACATAATTGATTTGTATTTTGTGAATTTTAATGTAATTTTAAATAAGGATCAACCAGCAAATTTGTTTTATTTATAAAGAATTTAGTCTGCATTTCTTTAAAAAGTAATTAAAAATTAGGTATTCCAAATGAGATAGCTTCAAATTTGTTGATCATTATTTTGTGTATCTCATGTTAGTACTTTAAAAATATTTTGTCATTTGACAATATTTAGTCTAAACCTCAGGTATTGAATGTTGACATCTAGTTACATAACCATGATGCCAAAATAAATTTCAGTAAATAGTAGCACCTTTTCCCAAAAGCATGAGAATGTCTACCAGTGTGTTAAGTTTCACAGAAAATTTTTTTAATAAAAAAGCAAATGAAAAAGTTTATACATTTAAAATATAATGGATAATGATACATGTTATTGCCAATCTGCATTTGAAAAAAAGACATAGATAGAGCAGCAACAAAGCGTTATTAGCTAAGCAAATTAATAAATAACCCCAAAGACCATGTAATGAACTATATGGTCAGCATACAATATGGCTTATGATGATGGAAATATTAAGATAAATATATTTTCTCTTTTATTGTCTTACCATCTTCAGAAGCTGTTCCTAAATGGGAAAAAATATCAAAACATGATATTCGAAACAAAAGCTCTTTTTGTATTTGATAAACAATAATTGTTTAGCTTCCCAAATGCATATAAAAATATTTAAGAATAGTGTTACTCTCTACTTTGCTATGAAATGATCCCTTAGATCAGCGGTTCTCAACCTGGGGGTCGTGATACCTTTGGGGGTCGAACGGCCATTTCACAGGGGTCGCCAAAGCCCTCTCTCGCCCCCCCCATGCCTTCACTCACACTCACCCTCTGCCTCTGTTGGATCGCCTGTCGCTTACCCCGCCCACTCCCAATCTATTGCTGCCTCCTGAATCCCAGCTGATGGCTAGAGGGAAAAAAACTGTTTAAATTCTTGCCATGGAGCTTCAAAGGGCCACCCTACAGCTGATCAGTGTTGTAAGAAAACAAATGAGTAGACTGGTGCCTGCAAAAATAGAAAAAACAGCCCCTTTCAGCTTCAGCATGGGTTAATTATCATAAGTTGATTTGATCAGCCTCCTGACTTTCAGCTGATTTGCTCTCAGCTGTTTTGCGGAGGGCTCTGTTGCTAGCTAGCTGCAAAGAGGTAACTTGCTTGAGCAGAATTTTTTTCCCCTAGCTATGCTGAAAAAGCGAAACTGAAAGTAAAGCAGGGTCTTTGCTGCAACGTGACAAAATGAGGCAGAGAGAGATTTCTTTTTCTTTTTCCTCACCAAAAAAGGTAGGTGCAAAACTGCAAACAATGGGAAATTTAAAGCAAAAGAGGAGGTTCAAGATTTTAAAAGACAAAAGAAAAAAAGCTCTATTTTACTAGGGAATTGTAATAATTGAGATACTATTAATTGTATATTGTGTTGAAAGCAGAAATGGTTAAATTGTGGTTTAGAGAAATATATGGGGGAAATTATTTGGTTTATTATTATTGGTAAATATAATTAATTGATTTGTAAGAAATTGGATTGCATGGAAATAATTGGAATATTCATGTTCATATTGATTAATATACAAAAAAGATAGTTATATAACTAATTGATTTATATTAAAATGTTGTATTTGTATTAAACAATTGTATTACATAATTACATAATTAACCAATGTGAGGATGGATATAAAAATAGATGACAATGCGAAGGGATATAATATAGAATAGAAGGGAAAAATTTAATTCGATTAAGCTTAGAGATGAGGATGAAGGGTAATGTTGGTTTTTTTAAAAAATAGATGAGGAATAAATATGGCAAAAAGGAAATATAGAAATTGTAAATTTAATTGAAATGACTAAACACTGTTTAAATTTGTGAATCGGCCAAATACTCTGTTCAAAGAAAATACGTTGTATGTTTATATGTGTGTTTCTAATTATTGCTATTTATTCATATTTCTTCTCTTTTATTCTTTAAAGTTTAACAATTCATTCTTTATCTTAATATCTTTATATTTGTTTGGGGTTGGTTTTCTTCCCTTTCATCTTTTTTATTGTACAGCAATCTTTCTCCTCAAACCTACCACCTCTCTCTTTTCTTTCCTTACTTTCTCTTTCCCCCTCTTCTCCTCCCTACTTCCTCTTCCTTTCTCCTTCTCCTCCTCTCTTCCTCCCTCTCTTACCCTCATTCCTACTCCAATTTCCTTTCCCTTCCTTCATCCCTCTCTATTGCTGTATCCTTTTATGCATATGGACTACCCAGAGGGCTGAAAAAGTTATTTTTGACTGGTCCTCGCACTTTTGACCAGTCCTCATACTTACGACTGTCCTCACATTTTACGTTTTTGCCCTATCTTGTCACCATGGTGAAGAGAAGCAGTTGTGAAATGAGTGACACGGTTGTTAAGAATGCTACAATGGGCATAAATGATGACCAGTCATAAGTGCGAAGACCGGTCAAAAGTGCGAGGACCTGTCAGAAATCACTTTTTTCAGCCCTCTGGGTAGTCCTTTTGTGCACATGGACTACTCAGAGGGCTGAAAAAGTTATTTTTGACTGGTCGTCGCACTTTTGACCAGTCCTCGAATTTACAACTGTCCTCACATTTTACATTTTTTGCCCTATCTTATCGCCATGGTGGAGAGAAGCAGTTGTGAAATGAGTGACATGGTTGTTAAGAATGCTGCACGGCATTCTTGTGAGGATGGTCATAAGTGTGAGGACCATTCAAAAATGTGAGGACCTGTAAGAAATGACTTTTTTCAGCCCTCTGAGTAGTCCCTATACACATAGCCATGGCCACCCGGTCACAAGACCAGCTAGCCACGCCTACCCAGTCATATGACCTCCAAGCCACGCCCACAAAATAAGCCACGCCCACAGAACCAATAGAAAAAAATTTAGAACCCACCCCTAGTTGGGGGTCCCCAAAACATGAGGAACTGTATTAAAGGGTCACGGCATTAGGAAGGTTGAAAACCACTGCCTTAGATCCAATCAACTTTTCTGTGACATAAACCAGTGAAACGACTTGCCTACAGAAGTTATGGGTGCTCCATCACTGGAGGCTTTTAAAAAGAGATTGGACAGCCCATTTGCCTAATATATTTTGTACTATATTTTTCCATCTGCTATGATGACTTTATGCTAGAGTTGTGGCAGGACTCCGCTTGGCACATTGTGTCAGTGGTACCGCTCACGCGTGCAATGGTACAACACCCCATGCAGCCTCCTGTCATGAGCGGCGGCACCGGTGTGACAAGCCACATGGCATCTGGCCACGAGCAGCCACAGAAGACGTTTTGTCCATTCAGCAAAAAGACTGGACTATCTGTTTTACAAAAAGTTATTTGAGCACTTTTAACAAAAATAATAACTTCACTCTGGAAAATATATTTATGATTCCCTATTTTCTATAAGACATTATTAGTTCTTGTAGGATGGTTAGAATAGATATGGAGAAATTTAATCTGTCATAGGGCTTAGTCCCATGGCATAATCTGCTGTGGCTGGCAAACATTTGTTTATGCTAGGCATCCTATGATAGAGAAATGCACAGAAGTCAAATTCCTTGTATGTCCAATCATATGTGGCCAATAAACTATTCTCTTCTCTTCTATTGTTTTGTTCTGTTCTGTTCCGTTCCGTTCTGGTCTACTGCAGACTAGAAGCATTTTTATTCTCCTCTCCATTTAGACTCCAAAAATTTAACTAGCCATAGAATATGTACATGCACACGTATGTTAAAACCATGACATATACTTCCCTTATGGCTGCTAATAGGTTTCAACAGTTTTAACTAGAAACAGTAGGTAGAATTACTGTTTGGTTGCATACCAGTATAATTATATTTTGATGAAATGGCATAATCTCTTTATAATCTGTGTAATTGTGGGACTACTGTATGTACTGCTTTGATTTGATTAGAATAGTTACCTGGAATGTGCAGACTGCACATTCAGCATTTATCTGTGACAGATTAAAGTACCTCCTTCGCTTTCTAGGGATCCAATACTGATATACTACTATTTATCCAAAGCTGCTTTTTCAAGAAGCAATTGGACTGTCTGTTTTTTCTTTGAAAAAAGCTGCAGGAATATTGGAAAAGCTCAGGTGGATCTTTAGCCAACACAACATACATGTTCACTTCAAACCCAAGCATACACTAAGCTTGTCCACCCCAAGAATAAAACACCCAGACACAAACTGAGCAATTTGGTACATGCAATACAATCCAGTGAGCTATGTGCAGATCTTTACATTGGGTAATCAAAACAACCACTTCATAAATGCATGGCACAACATAGGAGAAGAAACACATCAGGACAAGATTTAGCAGTCCATCTGCATTTAAAAGACAAAGGCCACTCTCTTGAAGACAGCAAAATTCACATTTTGGACAGAGAGGAGCGCTGGTTTGAAAAAGCAGTCAAATAGGTAATCTATGTCAAAACTGAACAGCCCTCTCTCAACAGAGGGGGAAGAGATATGACTATCATCTATCTCCAGTCTACAACACAATCTTTTCAACAGTTCCAAGAAGGCTCCACGCCCGTTTGCACTATTCAGGTATCACTACCCTGATAACATAGATAAACCTGTAGGTCAGGCTGTCAAACTCAATGCCCAGGGGCCCACGTGGTGATTAGATCTGGCCTGCGGGGCTGCCCTGGAAACAGCAAAGGACTGGCCCATGGTGCCTCTGTTTTTGCTGGCAAAGGGTTGCAGGTGGCCCTCCCTAACTCCGTTTTTGCTGGCAGAACTCTCGGGCTGCCACAGGTACCCCTGACATGAGTGATGTCGAACTGATCATGCCCACCACCGAGGTCAAACACAACCCTGATGTGGCCCTCAATGAATTTGAGTTTGACACCGCTGCTCTAGATGGCCTTAACATCTTGCTAAAAGAATGCAAATGACCAGTTGTCTGCAAGGAGTTTGAATCCTTCCATTCCACACCATCCAGCCAGATCTGAAGAAGCTTCTTGATGAGAAACGAGACAGCTTCAAACAAACAAACAAACAAACAAACAAACCCAGAAAGTCCAGTTGCCTCTTAAAAAAGTACCTTTGGGACAACCATGATCTGGATGACTGAGAATCTCCATAGACATACTGCTGTTTATGTTTGTTATAAAAATACGTTGTTCGTATTTTGCATGTTTTTATGTAACATAGATGGATTATTAAATTTTATGTAAAATTAATAGTAAATAAAAAGAATACAGGTAGTCCTCAATATCTGCGTGCTGAGCCACGCCTATGCAGGTAAGCTCTTAAAAACACCACAAACGCTGTCCGATTGGGCTAGTAGGCTTATTTCCTGCTACAGACTGGTCCCAGGCACGGTGAGTAGTAAACTTACAAAATCGGCGTTGACAGTGTCTGCTTCCCAGCGCCTTTTAAACAGACCACACCGTACCCGCGCCTTGCCCCTATTAGCGCCATTAGCACCTGTCCTGGCTGACAGGGTACACAGATCTCCCTGCTTTTCCGCGTTGTCTCTGCACGTCAGCTGCCGTCATCGGGAATCATCGCTATGAAGATGCCAGTCCACTCCATCGCTCTCCCGCCCGATGCTTCATGAACTGCCCCATCACCATCACCAGTACACCTTGGAGCCCTATGGTCTTTCAGATGCGGTTTGTGATGGCGTCCTGCAGGTCTCTTCCCCTATAGGATCATGTGTCGAGCCAGGGACTGGGCTCGACACCCAATTTATGACCACAATTGAGCCCAAAATGTATGCAACACAGAGCCATTATTGTCTAAACTGCTGGCAACAAAAGTGAGTACACCCCTAAGAAATAATGTCCACATGGGGCCCAAGTAGCCATTTTCCCTCCCTGGCATCTGACGTGTTAGTGTTACAAGGTCTCAGGTGAAAAGGGGGAGCAGGTATTTGGTGTTATCGCTCTCACTCTCTCATACTGGTCACTGGAAGTTCAACAGGGTAATGAACTCTCTGAGACTCTGAAAAAACAAATTGTTGCTCTATATAAAGATGGTGTAGGCCCTGTGATGCCGAACCTATGGCACCTATTGTCCCACCGGAAGTTGGCAAACGGGCCGTTTCTGGCCTCTGGAGAGCCTCCAGAGGGGTGGGGAAGGCTATTTTCGCCCTCCCCAGATTCCTAGAGAGGCTCTGGAGCCAGGTGAGAGAGAAAAACTGGCCTATTGGACCTTTGCGTGCCAGGAGCAGGGAGACCGGGGGGGGGCGTGCATACATGCATGGGGATGGGGGGCATTGAATTATGGGTGTGGGCATGCATGTGCGCAACCCCTTCATCCTCCCATGGTGGTGGGAATGTCATTGTCTGGGGCTGCATGAGTGCTGCCGACACTGGGGCAGTACATTGAGGGAACCATGAATGCCAACATGTACTGTGACATACTGAAGCAGAGCATGATCCCCCTTTGGAGAAACTGAGGGTAAAGGTGATTGATTGGCCAAGCATATCTCCAGACCTAAACCTTATTGAGCATCTGTGGGGCATCCTGAAACGGAAGGTGTAGATGCACAAGATCTCTAACATCCACCAGCTCTGTGACGTCGTCATGGAGGTGTGGAGAGGACTCCAGTGGCAACTTGTGAAGCTCTGGTGAACTCTATGCCCAAGAGGTTTAAAGCAGTGCTGGAAAATAATGGTGGCCACACAAAATATTGGCACTTTGGCCCCATTTGGACATTAGTACTTAGGGGTGTACTCACTTTTGTTGCCAGGAGTTTAGAGATTAATGGCTTTGTGTTGCGTTATTTTGAGGGGACAGCACATTTACATTGTTATATACGCTGTATATTCATTACTTTACATTGTAGTCAAGTGTCGTTTCTTCAGTGTTGTCACATAAAAAGATATACTTAAATATTTACAAAATGTGACAGGGTGTACTCAGTTCTGTGACACACTGCATATTTGACAGCTTTCCATCATGTAGAAAATTCCTAGACCTTCTTGACCAGTTTACAAACTTGGGCTGTGATTCTTCAAACAATTCCTTCATTTCTTTTAAGCTTTAATGCCATGCATTGTATTACCCTTATTTTGCCAATTAGTGGAAACCTTTGTAAGCTCTTTACTTTTACTAAACAATTATTTATTTGTGCTATATCAGAATCTTGTTTATATAGACTGGGTCCTGCCCATTTTATCATAAATATTTTTAATCTGTAATTTGTTCTAATCACAGATCTTACCAAATACAGTCACATTGCAGAATGGAAAAAAATCTCCCAATATAATTTTTTAAATATTTTTTCTGAACTAAGATACATAGTCATTCACCCACCTATGCATACCTTTCCATATCAGTCTATCTGTTCATGTTATGTTTGAATTCCAAAAGATCTGACACAAAATATATTAGTTCTACATGATACTGCAAATATTTTTATACATTTTTATACAATCCACAATGGCAATTTTTTCATATTTTCTGGCATCCCTTTACAACGCCACAGCTTTATTCAGTTTATATAGAACCACATTATATTTTAAAATGTAGTTAGAACTATATTTGGTTATACCTTCTTCTAACTTTTTTATTTTGAAACTTTTCACATGCTCTATAATCTAAAATTTTCATTAAGCAAAACTTTCTGCCTTGCTTTTATATTATATATACAATATACTGAGATTATGTATGAGAAAATTAAAGTCATTATAGACTACTAATTCACCCACACACACATATGCACATACTCAAATCTCATAATTCCATTCCATTCCTTGCATTTAATGAAATGTAGTCCTCAAAAACATATTTTAGAATAAACATTTAAAACATCACCAGACTTTTTTCCCCTAACAGTTAACATATTGAAAATTACATTTGGTAACAGGCCACAAGAAGTATAAAATTTATAAACTAGAGATTATTTTATTGATCAAATTTATTTATTGATGGATGAAATATATATGGGTGCCTATCTCACAGAAAGTGATTTTGGGAGGCATACAACAGTTCAATAAAACAATGAATATAAAGTAATCATTATTTAAAACCATTAAATAATAATGATTAATAAAGAATTAAAAATTATAAAGCAGAACTAAAAAAAAATAATAGATGGTTGTTAAAAATGAATTATATGTGTTATACATTAACAAACAAGCTTAAATATTGCAATTTAAATCCAACTACTTTGCTGACAGTAAGAAAAATCAAGATATGCCCTTCATTTGACTATTATTAGCTCAAGTACTAAGATTAGTTTCGCAAACATGAACAAGACTGTACAAGTCATATTAATAAATCTTGTCTAAAGCAGCACTGGAATAGAGCTGCACAGACACTTGCCCATATATGTCCTTATATCAATGCTTTAATAAGAAAATCTCATATTATTTAGAAGTCAGGTGAGTGTTATTCAAGCTGAATTTGTTATGTGTACAGAAGTCACAAAATCAGTTGTTTTAGAAACTGTCAGACAAAACAGGCTCTTACCATCCATCTTATCAGAAGTATCCTCTTTTTTGGAATAGCAAGCAAAGAAACAGGAAAACTTAATATGTTAGACAAACTGTACTGACAAGGAACTATAAAATCTTCATTAAGGCAATTAATGTGATACTCATATTGATATGAGTAGTTTACAAACACTTAGATATTGAATACATGCATATACTAATCATTAGCAAACAAACAATTCCAGAATTATTAATGAAATATAGTATCCAGTACCAATGATGCTAAAAAAAAGAATTTTATTATTACCTCTGTTATCATAATATCTTATAGACATTTGACAGTTCAGGCTAAAAAAAGAGGCAGACTACCCTATTTTTGCAGCATGGACACAGAGCTGCATATCTGCATATATGATTTATAGACTGGATCTAAACCTGGTTAGGCATGCTTTATCTCAATGGAAATCAGTGGGGCTTAAAGCTACTTATGACTAAAATCTTCCACAGATTTTAGTGGAACGAAAATATATTTATTTGAGATCACAGCCCTAAAGAAGAAAGAAAATTCACTACTATAAAGATAGTAGAAAAAGAGCCTTATGGAATTTAAAAAAATCAGTTAAGTAGTAAACATGAGTAGTTCAACGAACAGCCAAGATTTGGCTATTATTTTGTTATAATAATATTTTTAAATATATAAAGAATCAGTGTTTATAAAATCTGAGGCAATAAAATACATTAAACTAGAATTTTAATGTTAAAGGTTAGGAGAGAAGAGAGACCATGATTAAAATACAAGTAGTCCATAATGGAGCCCAAAATTTATGTTGTCAAGTGAGAATTTGTTAAGTGAGTTTTCCCCAATTTTACAACATTTCTTGCTACAGTTGTTAAGTTAATCACTGCAGTTGATAAATTGGCAACCTGGTTGTTAAGTGAATCTGGCTTCCCCACTGACTTTATTCATCAGAAAGTTGCAAAAATAATCACATGACCCTGGGGCGGTGCAACTGGTATGAACCAGTTGCCATAAGCATCTGGATTTTGATCATATTAAATGGGAATGCTGCAAAGGTTGTAAATATGAAAAATGTTCATAGTCACTTTTTTCAATACTATTGTAACTTTGAACTGTCACTAAATGAACTGTTGTAAGTGACAGACTACTTGTAAATCTATTCAGGTTATATTTGTTCTCTTTCATTTGTGGAATAATATACCAGGCTAACTTCAAAAAAATATGCTAAAAACAACTGCCCCCAAGTGAAAAATAGGCAATAAATGAATACACGTGAATTTTTTATGCAAAACTTAGTTTTCTAATATTATCAATTTAGACATACTAGTTCCACTTGAAACCAATCTTAGCAGTCTCTCTTTTAACCTAATAAATTTATTTCAAGGAGAAGTCCCATAGATAGATGGGACTATACAAATAAATACCTCCTATGTCACATTCTAGAAGTCATAGAAGTCCCATACAAATAAATACCTCCTATGTCACATTCTATCCCATTTTAAAAAGGGGGCTGGGTGATGAGGCAAATATACATGCTCATACAAATTGCCTGTAAAATAATACACTTCATTTTTAAATTAATTGATTCCCACAAAACACCTATTCCATTATCTTTTTCCAGCAGAAACAACAAAACTTTTTAAAAAGTCAGGATGGAGAGCTGAGTGGAAGGTGCTCTCCTTCTCTCCAGCTTCTGACTGGAAAACCTCAAATCTTCATTTGCCTTAATGACGAAGAGGGGAACCCAACTGATACAATAGTACTTTAAAAAGTATATCTGAAATAATTTTGATCTATTCATGTTTGTTTGTTGCCACAAATTTAAGAATATTTTCTTACCCTAATTCACAGGTATTTGGGGAGAAATCCTTGCCTTCTTACAGGGTAAAGATGATACACACTTTTTCTTTCAAAAAACTATACCAATCCAGATCTGGACATCTGACCACTGTAGCCCAGATGTACGCACTGATAACTAGTATAATTCTAAATTAAGGCTTATATATTGAACTGATATCATTTAAAACTGTTTTTTTAAAAAAAGACATCAATCCCAACTGTGAGGCATTGCAAACTTTATTCCAGAAAACTGAACACACTGGTTCATATCTATCTAATTTTTTATTTTTATTATTATTATTTATTAATTAGCCTATTGGTTCGAACACATGTTACCAATAAAGTCCTATACAAACAATTTAAAATAACAGTAGGGTAAAATACAACTGTTATAGGCTAAAATACAATAATTTAATACATAAATATGTAAAATAGGACTTCCAGTTGGCGATTCGTGGCGAGACAGTGGAAGGAGAGCGATTTCCGCTGTTCAACCCCGGATTTCTTCGTGTTTTGGGGACCCTTAGGGGGCAAGAGCCTGGAGAGCATTGCGAACTAGAGAGGGAGTCCAGAGAGCAGCAAAGCGTGGGGCGAGCGCTTGCCGCTCAAACAGATGCCTCTGTTAACCCAGCATGAATGCGTCTGTCATTTTGAAATGTCAGACTCGAGCTGCGATAAGCTGACAAATAGCCGGGGAGAGAAGAAGAACGGAGCAGACGGTGTTAGAAGTGGAGTTTTGCCGGAACACCGTAAAGGCATAAGAAGTTGGAGTAGTGAGATCGGTCTTGTCAGAACAAAGGACTCATGGAAGGAAATCGAGCGGAGATTGGGCAGATGGAGAATGAATCAGCAGAATAATTTCAACTGACAAGACGACATTGAAGAGAAACAATGCTTTTGGTACAGCAGAGGCACGGAGAGGAAAAGTTGGTGAAATCTGTGAGTGAATAGCAAAATGGAGGGAGTGCTGGCGTTGCTGAGAGATAGAAGGAGATAAGACTGGGACCGAAAAGAAAAGAAGCAGAAAGAGCCACCATTGTAGAATATAAATAGAAAAAGAATTGAATATTAGAACTGTGAAAGAAAGGACTATTATAAGACAGCTGGACTTATACTTGAACTAATATTCGAACAGAAACCAAGAGGACAGAGTGGTGACAGAAGAACATCAAAAATAATTTAAAAAGACAGTAGAAATCTAAGAACTATAGCTGGAAAAGCACAAGGACCTGAAGACTTATGAAAAGGTCATTGTATGAATGTTGAAAAGAACTTTAATATAACAGTGTGGAATAACCTCTGAATAATATACTTATTAAGATAAATTACTCTTTTCTTTTGATATTCTCTTACCCCCCTCCCCCTCTCCTATACTACTTATTGAGTGATTAATTAATTAATTTGTGAGTACTTGAGAAGTAGCACAGTGGACTAATGCACTGTTATTAACATCTGCTGCTTGCAATTAAATTCAAATCCCACCAGGCTCAAGGTTGACTCAGCCTTCCATCCTTTCAAAGGTAGGTATAATGAGGACCCAGATTGTGGGGGCAATAAACTGACTTTGTATAAATATACAAAAGTATGAAGGCTATTGCTTAACGCATTGTAAGCCACCCTGAGTCTCCGGAGAAGGGTGGCATATAAATTAAAGGGGAAAAAAAAAAGCTAATTGTTAATTATTAAGTATAATCTACTAAATATAAAATCTATAATCTATTAGAATTTTAATTGAATATCAATTGAAACATAGATTCTGATATTGATTTAATCTATTCTTTATATGTTTAAATATAGATTTTATTGCATAGAAATTTAAGATTACCTTTAAGACTACTCTAACTTAATTAGTGAATATATGTCATTTTAGAATATATAAAATAGAAGAATAGAAGAGATAAGAAAATATAAGGCATAGGTTAATAGATACCACTCTATTGATTAAAATACTGGAAGATCATTAGTTGGACATTATAGACTAACATAAGTAAAAATAAGAAAAACAAGAATAAGACAAACAAGTAATAACAGTGGATGATAGTTTGGAAAAATATAGATAGGATTATGGGAGATCAGAGAAGGATACTGACGTTAAAGATGGGAAAGAAAACTACATCAAACCCAACAATTACCACGGCATCCCCTCAACGGTCAACAGAAGGACAAACGAAGATGAAAAAATCGATTGTAATCTCATGATGCAGGCCATGCAAACCACCTTAACATTAATACAGGAGACGATGGTGAAGATGCAGGAAAAACTGTCCAGTAATCATAATGAACTGAAAACAGATATCCAGATTTTGGATGGCAAAGTGAATGACATCCAAGATTCAATCCACAAAAATGAACAAAAAATAAAAAATGTAGAAACCAAAGTGGAACAAAATGAAAGGAAACTGGAACAGTAGACCACAAACTGATGGCCCAGAACAGAGAACTTGAAGATTCCATCATACAATTGGAAATGGACAGGGCGGTGTTTTACTTGAGATTTCAGAACGTAACCGGAAGGGAAAGAGGAAGATCTGGTACAGGTGATGGCGGAAATGATTTCAGAGGCCCTACAGAGGGACAAGCAAGAAATAATAACAGAATTGGATGAGGTATACCGAGTCCAGACAAATTATGCCAGAAGACACAAGTTACCAAGAGAGATCCACATTAGATTTACCAGGAAAAAAAGTCTGTGATATCCTATACAATATAACCAGAGAAGAAAAGATGATGTACAAGGGGAAAGAGGTCATAACGTTGAAACAAGTCCACAGGAGAGTAAGGGAGCTATGAAGAGATTACCGCTTCCTTGCTATGCAACTAAATAAAAGAAATATCCTATTTAGATGGACACTGCCAGAAGTAATGCTAATCACGTGGCAAGGGAAAAAATAAAGATAGACAGTCTAATGATAGCGCAAGACTTCCTAGACCAACTGATAGGAATGGAAGAAGAACAAAGTAGCAAGGAAGAAGCAGAGACGATAATCCAGGAAGAAGATACCTCTTACCAACGAGACCCTAAAGAAGGACCTTTGGAGAAGAAAGACACAGAAGAAAGAGAGAACAGACACAAAAAGGAAAAAACCAAGAACACAAAAGGTCACAAGGGCAAATAAATACTAACTCTTATTAGGAAACCCCCCAAAAATGGAAGATTGGAAATTATTATCGATTAATGTAAACGGATTGAATGAGATTAAAAA